AACTTCTGAAATCTTTTGAATGAAGTCTTTAAACTCATTGCTTGGAATAATTTGATGAAGTCTTAGTTCTCCTTTGAATCCCATTGTAATCAGTTAAAATCTTGGTGTATAAAGATTCGAAAGAGTATGTTTCCCGTTTGTCCATGAAAGATACGAAGAAGATCAGTTACCGAAAAATATTCGAACAGATCAAGATTTCGTTGGCCAATGATTCTAAATGCATTACAGTGGATGTATCAGAAAGGTATTTACCGATGAAAATCTAGGTGATACAAACATCAAGATCGATCGAATGAATTGACTAATTGACGATTTAACAGTAATCCGCATCTTTCTATTGTCTTTCACTGTAGCATTTAAATGACTCAGTGACGCTGCCCAAACACGCCTCTAATGAAAAAGACATCCAACGAATGAAGGACACAAACCAACAAACGAAATATATGTTGACCTTGACCTGAAGAATGATTGTCGTAGTGAACTAGATAGAGGATATATTTCTCGCTCGATTCTGTATCTACTTCAGGTACAGGAGATGTACAGTCAGAGAAGAGCAATGAGAGATGCAGAGAAATGTGAAGAGATCAATACATAGGAGTATAGGACTACTATATTTGTGAAATGAAGAGAAGAATTTTTTCCTTTGCTTAGTTTTATACAAAATAAGATTACAGACAATTCGATGTTCTTACAACTAGGGAACTTCTCCAAATTCTTTTGAAATATATTGAGTTTACTGGTTTTTAAGATCCTTTTATGTCATACATGCTTCAGGTTTGTTTAAAAGACATTATCAATACAACGGAGATTATCCTGCTGTATGAATATGAAGCCTCTGCAAACAATTATCTGTAATTTGATCGACCTTTTCTCAACAATCATTTGACGAAAAGAAAGAACGGTGGTCAACCAATGTTTTGTTTGATGTCTAGAATAACTCATGCAATATATCGATTTTTATAGAACTAACAAGAACGAAAATTAACTACTTAACTACATGTAAAACAATGAAACTATAGAAGAATGCATCGACGACGAAACGAGTATCCGATATACCAGCGACGATTAGTCCAATGTTCGAGTGTATATCTTCCTATATCGAGCTTATCAATACTCATCGATTGTTCAATGATTGCATGAATTTCGTGTCGAGTCATGATAAACAGTAAAGCTTGAACATCTACTATACTAATCGTTGAAAAAAATTTAATAATCTTAATATTGTCGTCGTAGCATAATCGTAGATAATTGTCGAAGTCGTCGTGAACAAGATTTGTTTCTATTTGATCCTTAGAAAGTGGACATTGAATAGGAAAAAGCAAGTATTTTTTTTTCATTTATACAAAATAAAATGTTCGGTTTTTTAATTTCAATACATCTCATCAAGTATTTTATTTTATAGCTGTTTATTTTGAACCAAAAACAATAAGAGGATTGTATAAAAAGAATGTGAACAAGCTATAGATAATGGATGCGAAAATAAAGCTGATTATAAATGAATTGCTAAGTAAGAATTAAAGAAATGTGAAGAACATTATTTGTGTAGTATTTCATTCGCAAAGCTTATACTCGTATAGGAAATGTAAAAGTACAACAAAAAACTATCAAGAAGCTATTAAATATTTGAATCGATCATTTGTGAAACATCGAAATACGGATATAATAAAAAGAAAAGAAGAAATTGAAAAGATTCTTAAAGAAAAAGAACGGCTAGTTTATATAAATCCGGAATTAACTGAACAAGAAAAGACTAAAGGAAATGAATTTTTTCAAAAAGCTGGTTATTCAAATGCACTTAAACATTATGCGTAAAGTCAACTGTTTTTTGATATCTATTTCACATAGAATCTCTTCAATTGCTCGTATGTTGTAGTGAAACTATTAAACGAAATCCATCAGACGTAAGACTTTATTCGAATCGAACAGCTTGTTTTATAAAACTATTGAAATTCTAATTAACATTGAAAGACATTGAAGAAGAAATTAGAATTGATCCAACATTTGGCAAGTTTTCACGGCATGAACGAATCATTAGCTAAACAATTTGATTTTATAGCTGAACGTTACCTTCATAAGGTCATACTTTAATGAGCATGAAAGATTTCTCTCAGGTTATGGTTGCATTTAATACAGTCCTTCAAATTCAGCCAAATAATCAGATAAAGAAAAAAAAACAAAAATAAATTTTATTTTGATCATATATATATAAACAAAATATGTTTAGGAAACAATGGAAGGTTATCAGCAATGTGCAGTGAGATTAAGTGATGATCCTGAAGAAATCTGTAAACGTGCACTTGCTGATTCTGGAATTCAACAAATTCTTGATGATCCAGGTATGTATTTAATACTTGACTAAATGCAAGATCAACCTATGGCAATACGTGAACATTTGCGAAATCCAGTTATCGTACAAAAACTTCAAAAATCAATGAAGATTGGTATTATTGCTATTCACCATATTTAATTCCAAATCATGGAATAACATTTCATGTTGATGTGTGAATATGTAGTGAAAAAAATAAGAATAATTTTCAAATTCTTTTTTCTTATATTTCATAACTTTTATATGATTTTTGCTACATCACTCATTTGCAATTCCTCAGGTTATTTTAAAAATAATCTAATCAATAAATCGCAATATCGACCGAAATGAAATTGTTAAAACTACTGAAATCACTAATTATTAAGTCTAATATTAAGTTTTCAATTATTCAAGTATTATTTTACATATTGTGCATATAATGGCTTCAATAAAATATTGCATCATCTTACATATCGTTTCTTTTTGAATACTTCATTTATAGTAATCAATCTACTCGTTTAAATTCTTTTATTCAAATATAATCAGACTGAGAATTCATCTTTTAATTCATGTGATGCAAATGTA